CTTCTGTAAACCAGAATCTCACAATTAAATCTCTAATACTATTCCCTCCTTCAGCTCTGGCTTATATAATTTACAATCCTTGGGTCACAGATGTTGGTGTGCTTCTTCTATGTGGACTTAGTTGACAACTCACGTAGATGGCTGCTTGCTTGGAAAAAACCCCAAAACTATTCTGATAGCCTCTTAGCTTTAAGTGAAGCCAAACCTCTAACACCGTGGATATTTTGTCTGTGGATTGTCAAGATTGTCAAGTGCTACATGGCCACATTGTAAGCAACAGGCTTCCCAGATTTTCCACTTTGTTTAATAACCTTTTTGTTTAAATTCCATATTGCTGCTGTTGTCACTGGCACTGGTTTTGCTGGGTCGGGCAGCCAGGATGCATTTCTCAGGAATGTTTCCCAAAGAATATTCAAGAGAGAGATAAGGCTTCAGCACTTCAGAGCAGTGGTGCAGACAAGTGGCTGCTGCTGCCCCCAGGTCAAGGCTTCCAGAGTTAAACAGTAAACTTTTAGACAGAATCAGCAATGTTGTACAAAGATGAGGAGCCAACAAGCTAGGCATTTATGGTAAAGCCCAGGTGGAATGGAAGGTGGGGAGTTTGCAAACATCAGAGGCTCTTCAAGAGAAAGATGAGGCTTTTTACTCCCATAAACAGTCACGGTCGTGGAAAACCCACAGGGGCAATTTTACCACGTCCTATAGAGCTGCTATGCATGAGAACTGACCTGATGGCAGTGAGAGAGTGTGTCAAACCCTGTAACAGTGGGTCATGTGTTGGGCTACTAATTGGTAACGTTCTCCGTGGGAGAGAGCGGCTGTGTGGCAGTGAACCGAGGGTTTCCGCTCTAGTGCAGAGTGCAGTGCTAGGAACCCTGGGGCAGTTCCACCCCGTTCTGCTGGGTCACTGAGTTACGTACTAACCCATTCCACAGCTGGCAGGACAATCACATTGTACACAATGGACAGATATGTAGTGTGCAGGAAGGTGTCCCAATCCCTAAGTCCCACACTCCAATGGGGTTTTCTGAACGCTATCTTAACCTATCAGATGTGTGGGGGGGGAGACGCTGCCTGAGTGGATGCTATGCAGTTTATGACTGCAATTTCATAAAGAAATAATCCTTAGATGAATAAAACGATCGGATAATTTCCCACTCTGGAAAGTATCATTAAAGTAATGAGGTCAATTTTATAAGCAATACACAGAAGTCACTTAGAGTACATTCATGATGTTTTTATTTACATAAATCTCCAAGTGTAGTTCAAGTAAAAGTTGATTTTAGTTTTACCAACAACTTCCACCACCTCATTACATTTAGAATTGATTAGATAGGCTACTCCATTTTATTTTAATCTTAAGCTAAGATAAGCTACAGACAAGTTCTATGTTACTGACAGGGCTGTCTCCCAATTCACACCTTCTCCCTTCTTCACTGCCTAATGTACAATGTGTTTCTCGAGTAATTTTGCTCTGACAGCCGATAAAGACAAATCTGGAGCTCTGAGACAAACAGAAGAAATCAACGACCAGTCATTCCTGTTCTTTTTAGGTGTGTCACAACTTCACTATTCAGTTTTTCCGGAGAGTTCAAGACGAACGGGTCACCTGATCATTCTTATTGTGAGAGCTAATAGCAACTGCCCTGGAGTGTCGCTGAGGACAGACCTGGGTAACATTGCTGGAAAGCACAGTGGACGGACGTGTAAAGGCAAAGCACTGACACGCTTCCAGAAAAGAAAGAGAATTACTGGAAGGACACTGGCTTCTAATGCGGGTTCTCATAGAGGCAGCTTGTCTACAATCTAAAGATTCCAGGGCTTTCCCTGGAAGGACGATACTAAGCGACTGACTCAAAACAGAAGAGCCACGGTAAGGAACTGACGGCTGTGACTTGTGCATTCTCTTTTTCTAAAAGGAATAAGCCACACTTGTCTGTAATGAAGAGATCAACAAGCTGCTCAATACATATTGATGAAATACGTATTACACTCACGATACTGAGCTCGGTCCTAGGAGGGATTAGAAAGAAGTCTACAATATGGTTTCTGTCATTAAGTGGCTTAGAATTAATTTGCAGAAGCAGGGGGGAAATACATAATTAGTGCTAAAACATACAAACTAATAGTACCTTAACAGTCAAAATCCCTTTCATGCAAGAGCAAGGAGATTCAGAGAAGTGGCCCAATGGTAACCACCACACACCCAGAAAACCTTCCTGAAACATATGGTCCAGCCCAAGGCTAAGCAAACATTCCAAGGTTCTGTTACCTGCATTTGCTTTGCAGCATTAAAAATGATATGTGTGCCAACAGTAAAATACCAACAATAATTTATATTTATAAACATTTTCTTATAAAACATAGTCACTGAAGACAAAATAGGTGCGTAAGCAAGCTGATGCTGCACACCTAACAAGAAATATAGAGTGTGGGGTCTTTGCTTGAAGATAAACTAGTGGTCATTTAGCTGAGAAGCAAGAAGCACACCACCCTGTGTGATCATGAGGTGTCGATAGGATCAGGTATCAGGCATCAAAGACCCAGAACAAAAGATCATAGCACTGTGAGTGAGGGAGAGCAGGGAGTGTAGACCCACAACCCATGTGTAGGCAACTCCCCTTACAGAAGGGTCGTGGGGAGGATGTGAGCCAGTCAGGGTGCAGTATAGCATCAATGAAACATAAAACTTTCCTCTAATTCTTGAATGCTTCCTCCCCCCTCCACTATCATGATTCCAATTCTACCTTACAAATCTGGATAGACCAGAGCATGTACACTACTACAGATAAGAATGGACACAGGGAATCCAGGGCAGATAAACCCTTCGGGATCAATAATGAGAGTAGTGTTAGCAGGAGGGTTTGGAGAAGGTGGGAGGAGGAAGGGGGACCAACCACTGATCTACATATAACCCCCTCCCAGGGGGACAGACAACAGAAAAGTGGGTGAAGGGAGACAACGGTCAGTGTAAGATATAAAAAAAATTTTATAAATTATTAAGGGTTCATGAGGGAGGGAGGCTGGGGGAAGGGGTAAATGAGCTGATACCAAGGGCTCAAATAAAAAGAAATGTTTTGAAAATGATGATGGCAACATATGTACAAATGTGCTTGACACAATGGATGTCATATGGATTTTGATAAGAGTTGTATGAGCCCCAAATAAAATGATTTAAATTAAAAAAAAGAAAAAAAATCAATCACTAGTGGTTCTTTCTGAGATGGGCGGGGGAAGGAGGCAGGTCATTCAGCAGCCAACAAGATGGCATTACTATGCCTAGTGGTAGTCTATCTCAGAAGAACAGATAATAGAAATAACTCATTTATTAATTCTGCCGTGAAACAATTCTTTATTGTGAACTAGATGGGGATTTTCCCTTCAAATAATCAATTTCATATTCAGTCATTTAAGGCACTTATCAAATCTGTAATTGCTTCTAACTATCTATTGCTTATAACTCCTTCCTGAGATATAACGTGCTATCACACGTGGCCAGCGAGTTCTTTAGAGGCAAGAATGGCAACACTTTGTAGGAAATCCTTTGCACGTATTGTCAGGAGGGACCAGTCCATGAGAAGGACTCCGTGCTTGGGAAAGTGGAGGGGCAGCACCACAGAGGGAGGCCGTCACGGAGATGCAGCCATGGTCCCACGCATTGCAACAATGCCGAGGAAGGCCCAGGGCTGCGCGGATGGTGGCTATGGGTTGGCACCTACTTGATGGCACCTAACAACCCAAACCTTAACCAATAAGAATGCCAGCACATCTTGAAACCAAGTTTTTTTCTAAAGCCCATAATCCCAAATAAAGTATAAAAGTAGCTTAAAAAGAACCCCGAACTTCAAAATGTTTCATCAGTATGATGGCACTGTTCTTCTGAGTAGCAAAGACAAGCGATGCGTCTCCACTGCCTGGAGCCAGCGCAACCGAACAAATGGTGCAGGACAGCTTCATCGCCAGTAGAAGATGAACTCCCTAATGTAACTCAGGGAAGTGCACTGTTGACGGCAAAGAAAAGCATGTGTAGAGTTGCTTTGGATTCTAGAAAGGAGCTGGGGTAAAAATGAAATCCTGAGACGTTTTATTGCTGGTTTCCAGCAGCATTGATATGTACATGGCAAGCGGATGCATGTGACCAATATCCTGGTAGGTGAAGAAAGTTAGTTAAGCCAACAGACTCCCCTTAACTATGTGTGGTGTTGTAAACGTGCATGCACACAGACTGTTAAAAGATAATTACATTTTATAAATTACCTCTTTTAAGGCATTCCACAGTTCCTCATCCGTGTATTCATTAAAGGGATCCAGGTTTTTTCTCATTGTTCCAGTGAATAAAACAGGTTCCTAAAGGGCCCAAAATAGTTAGGTTATTACCAAGTGCTCTTTTCTTCCTCCCCTCCCCTGCTAGTGTTCTTTCAGACTGCACCTAAAATATGAAACTCCAAACCCCAGATTCCTCACCACCATTAATTGTAAGGTGGCAAATGCTCGTGAACTAAACAATCTTTCTAAAAACAAAAACTCAGCATATTGAATTTTAACAATCCTCAGAATATTGAAGATGAAAGAAAACGTTCAAGTACACCACCAATAAGGAAAGAGAAGGCAAGGAAGCCATGAATATCAAGAATGCTTTCCGGGTCGGTGGTACCTGCTTCACTGAGGACATGATTTTTTCAGGAACTTTGCCCCTTCAAGGGAGCTACAGAAATGAATCGACAATTGTGTTGGAATATCAGAACATACCAAGAGCAGGATTTATTGCAGACTGCATCTCTCTAAGACAAATGGTTACATATGTTCACATCTGAAGAATCTCCAAGTGGCACACTCGATTTGCTTTCAACCATTAGCCCAAGGCTAGTAGTATGACCCTATCCAGCAGCATTGTGGCGGAAAGGTCAGGCAATCGGCTTCCTTGATAACGATGGCCCAGAAAACTCAATGGAGCACTTCTACCCTCGAACACTGAAGCACACCGAAACCCAAGTCACTGTCATCGAGTTGACGCCCAGAGATAGCGACCCCATAGGACAGGAGAACTGCCCCTGTGGATCCCCGAGACTGCTAACTCTTTATGGGAATGAAGTCCCATCTTTCTCCTACAGAGCAGCTGCTGCTTTCGAAATGCTGATCTTGTGACCACAGTGCGTAAGCACTATGCCACCCTGTTTCCAATAACACTGCAGCACACATTAGGATATTTCTATACTGGGATTGGGGATCTCTTCCCGCATGCAACTGGGAGCTATATTCCTTGTTTTAAGAGAAGGGGAACGCATGGGGCCAGTGGCATCTCCATGTACGAAGGGCCTGCCTCTGATTTCCCATCAGCAAATACCCCGAGAAGGGCCTGCCTCTTATTTCCCATCAGCGAATACCCCGATTAACTTCTTTGTGCATCAGGGATACATGCCTCACAGTGCCGGGTTATTAACCACACAGGCAGGATAACCCACTGTGAAGAGTGTCAAACTAGGATTGTTTTAATTTACATGGCTCATCCTATTCATTGGCTTCAGTAGCTGACACTTAAATTTCTCTTGAAAATAGATGCCGCCTTCTCAGTTCCAAGAAATCATCTTGACCATAAGCTTGTGTATGGCCTTTATGTCTTCTTCTGGAAGGTTCTAGTTAGCCATGCCACAAGGATACAAGAAGTAGTAAAGGGCCTGACTGTCTACTTTCAGTAAACTGGAATGTAAGACACAGGGTCCAAGAGATTAGACTCGTGCACAGGGAGCGGAGAACCCCTCAATCACCAGCCTCAAAGATTGCCTGGCTTTGGAGCTGGGAACCCCATGAACACAGACTTCGCTTTCCTCTAGCCAGGAGGAAGAATGACATTCCGTTTTAAGACCGATGAGGGAGAAATGGATGTAGAAACAGATGGTGTCACCAAAAAACACATAGCCCTTGGCAAAATTTCACTCATGTGGGCACTGTGTTTGGACGAAGTTGTCTTGTGCTTTGAATACATTGGTCAAATGATGTATTCAGGTAGCTAATTATAAACTCTAAGATGGCAATAATGAGCACCCATGGCAGAGTGGGTTACATGTTGGGTTAACCGTAAGGTCAGCAGTTTGAAACCACCAGCTGCTCCTTAGGAGAAAAATGAGGTTTTCTACTCTCATCAAGAGTTACATTCTCAGAAACACAGGGGCAGTTCTACTATACGATAGGGTCCCGATGAGCCAGAACTGGCTTGATGGCAGTTGAGAGAAGATCCCCATAAGGTAAGCAATTTCTCCTCCTTCAGTTGTTATGAAAGCAGGTTAAATCAAACAAGCAAACAAACAGGTTAACAGAAACAATGTAGCCAGAGGTGGAGTGCCTGGTACCCATCATTCCCCACAAGTTGTGGTTAGCAGTCCAAGGTATGGCACCAAGGCTCCTTATTTCAGCATTCGATAGAAGAATATTGTTTAATAACTAAGAACATTTTCTTTTGTGATGACATGACAAACATGTACTTCATAATGACTAAAATTTCAATAAAAACTTGTTGAATAAGGAGGAGGATTTAATAAAACATTAGCTGATTGGAGCTGTATTTTTCTTTAGAACCAGCAGACAATTTGTTAATAATGTCTATTTTAATGTGCCAATGTGGTTTACAAACGGTTTCTACTCATTCCACTTTCATCCACTTGCCAAACAAGAAACCATTATATTCTCTTCAAAAGGCAGTAAAAGTGCTCATGGTTGACCCGCACTGC